ACAAATCTTGGGGAAGTAAAGATTCATCATGCGAGCCAATGATGGCTCTTCTCCAGTTTCCTGACACAAGCGTCGAAATCAGGCAACCGTCCTCCATACTGAAGGGCTCACTTGTGCCAAGCATACTTGGTAGCGAAGGTAAAACTACGCAATCACAGAATCAAGTTCTCCGCTCAAATTAAACGCACCCAAAGTAAAGGGAAACATGTAAAATTATGTAAAACCTTCCTTGGGAAGGGTCACTCGCTTCGATAGATCAGGAGTAATAATGTCCAACTCATAGAAGCGACAGTCTTACTTCATAGTAGGAATACTGGAAGGACGAATAGAAGAAGGATACCTACTGACAACCCATGAACGAGGTTTATCAGTAGGGAGTTTCTCTTCGAAGTCTTTTGTGGTGTTAAGACTTCGGGGACTATCTGTATAGGAAAAAATATCGTATGACACGTGGACCTTTGACAGAATCTAATATAATGTCAAAAATTAAACAGTGTGTTTTTTAGCTTATCTGTATACGTGGCTTTTCTGTATCTACACAACTACTACGTGTAGCATTTAGGTTATTCCAAAAGTGGGTTTTATCCAATTTCTTTACATCACACAATTTACAGAGCTTCTCAGATATCTTCGATCTTCCTCATCAATATTTTACGCTTCTTGATCAATATAATTCTAATCAACAAAGTAGATTTGTTATGAAGTTAATCTGCAACAGATTCCCAATTATGTAAGTTCACATTAAAATGCTCTAATTGCCTTTTTTCTCATATGTGCTACTATACCAACTTCTTTTCCCCTAGCTTTCCGCATAACCTATATTAACAAGATCTATTTTGAGAGAATATTGAAGAAGAATTTGAATTTTTCCTGAAGACATTCTACTTAAGTATCATTAATTATGTTGACATATGAAGTTCACTCCAGTTCATTGTGGTCTAGGGGAAAAGCATGATAAAATACTGTTCAAGGTCATCCTCTTATGTCTTTCTTTCACAAGATACAGTGTGAACCCTGTTTGATAATACTTGATTTCATCTCCATTGATGGGTCGACATTGATATGTGTTAAACAGGAGTAGAAAATCTAAGCTTATGACATGTTGATTCAAGTAGCAGCAGAAACAGGAGGAGTAGGAAACTAGATGTTGCTGAAATTTTGTATTCTATTTATACCTCTTTACTACTTTGGATCTAATTTAAACAAATAGTGTGATAAAATGGAAAAAGATGCTGCATGAAAGTAGTAGTTGAATAATTTCTTTTCTATTGAATAGTTCTAATACATAAATTAGCTACACTACTACTTGTGTACTTCTCTTATCACGTGGCATTTTTCTATTGTCTTTTGTTCATACATTGTTGCGACAATAATTTCTACCTTGGCTACGTCATGTAACAGGTCCCAATGTATTTGTCGAAGACCACAACAAACGAGGCTGACAACTACATACCTTGGCATCACGTTTCATTAAAGTGTGAACAGTTGGTAAATAGGTATCTTGTAAACCTCTGGACATATATAAAACTTGATGCTTTAGTGTATAGTACCAAGAAGTATTAAACTTATTTATTGAATCTTGGTATGTTTGCATTTGTGCTGGTGATCTCTTGCTTTAGGATTCTAAGGCTATTCTATTGATTCAATATGTGCAATGCAGTTATGCCACATAGGGACTTGCTCCTTTTTGTGAATGCAAAGAGGGACGATAATCTTATGGTATATGTTCACGAGTCTAAAAGTGAGTAGGAGCTTTAAATTTGATATTGCCAAATTAGACGAGTATGAACGGGCATGAGTGACTAGGAGATGATAAGAGGTCCACTGTTATAGTGTTCTCATTTTAATTTTACTTATTGTGCATTGCTTACTCTTTCACACTTCTTTAGCTGTGAGTGGGGTAGCTTCAGATGAAAGATGGAAGATAGTCTGATAAACTTAGTATCTAAGGTCCATTTGATTATAATACTCAATTTTGTGCAATATGTAAATATATTTAACTTTATTCTCTTTATTTGATTGACATTAAATATAATGGCATTAACTTAAATCTCTTTCATTTTGGGCTCGTGCTGGCACGGGCCATCACAACCTAGTTAGTATTAAAAGTATCACCAAATTAACACAATCTTTATACCCCATAACCATATCCCTCACTTAGTATTGTGATCATATATCACCTACTTTATATCCACGTAATGGAAAATGATTATTAAAAAAAATGATTTTCCAAGTGAAATATATTTTGAGACAATATATTTTCATGAAAAACATACAGGTTCCTTAAACCAAATGCCTGTAAATGCATTTGAAAATAACTATTTTTTGGATATATATATATATATATATATATATATATATATATATATATATATATATATATATAT